AAAAAAAAAAAAAAAAAAAAAAAAAAAAAAAAACCCAATAAAATAAGAAATAAATAACGTAGCTGCAAATTGCTTCCAAAAAAATCAATCCAGCTTTATTTACCAAAATTGAGGACTTTACTTGCAAGCTACTGCAAACTAACTATTAATGACATTTAAAATGGTAAAAAAGGCCATAAACAAGAAGCTTCTTTAACACACAAATGACCTTAGAGAGGGTACCTTAACACGAAGAAATTCATAAACCACTGTGTTGAACAGAAATTCATAAAAAAAACCCCTTTCGACTCCATTCTATGTCAACAAACAATTAAAAAACGTACTTCAGAAAGCACTCAATGACAAACGAGCGAATGACAGAGTATTAATAACAGCCAATAGATGCTCATGAGCAGTTCCCAAACTATACGTTAAGTGTTTTAAGCCATAAAAATCAGCTTACCAATGTCCTTTTTATTACAGTTTCCATAAACCTTTGGTGAATAAGAACACTGCTGCTGTAATGATGGATCTGTACTGTCCGGTGACGGATGCTTAACGTAATCGTGCGAGTGCCTTTCACTATGGTATCTAAAAATTCTTAATCGGTATATAATGAGCCAAAAAAAATTTCTCGAACATATTTCTTGAAGATTTTGCAAATGGCCGCTTTAAACTAAAATAACGACACTGAAAAGTGATAAATTTACGTGAATTTGCAAACAATGGACAAAATGTCACCGATTTGATCGGCAAATTACATTAGAAGTGATCTGCAAACAAACGGTTTCAAGCAGATTTATCATAATGAGATAAGACCCCATTCACTAATCACCAAAAATCAGTTTTTATTGAACTAAATTCTTTCAGATAAGAATTTCGTCAAAAAAATTTTTTCAATCAAGCAAAATATCAGAAGCCTCAAAGAAATCAAGACATTTGATCATATTCATCACTACTGTTCAAAAGAACCCAACAAATACCAATTTTCTTGGTTAGATAGATAACACGCAACTCAGAGTAACAAAAATCAACGTTAAAGATGTGCCATTATTGCGCAGGAAAAAAATTTTTCCATGTTTTCGTTGTTCACTGCCGTTTCTGTTGTTGTCCCATTTCAAACATTTTATATTGCTTTCTGTTATAGTCATTTTTCGACTACAAATTAGCTAATATTAAAAGCACCCGTGAGCGTATGTGAACGACTGAAATGCAAACATTATTGCATAGGTCCAAGTTGAATTTGTAAAACCAAAACAAAAAAAAAAAAGCAATCCTGCCAAGTAAAACAACTGAAGAAAAAGCAGAAAACCCAAAAAAAATGATAATGATGATGATTGAAACTGCACCAAAAACGATAAAGTACCAAAAAAAACTCTTTTAATTAAAAATACAAAGCCATATAGATAAAAGAGGAGGACGTGAATTACTATAACGAAAAATTTTTTCAAAAAACCGCCGTTTTTTTCTAACCTTTACCATCTGCGAAGAAATGAAACTCAAAAAATATTACACACTTTCAACCGCCATCCATTCAACCAGGTCGTATTATGACAGGCAAAAAAGTTAGAAAATTTCAAATACGATTTATCCCTTCAACAAATATAACTAAAATTAAAAATAAATATTGAGACAAAAACTGAAAGAGAAGAAAAAAATATGAAGAAAAGAATATAAAACATACATTTCTCTCAAAACTTCAAATTACAAAAAACCATTTTTTCATTTACCTCACTCAGTTAATGCCACTGTTCCAGTTGATTATTCAACTCAAATCCTCCTTTCCTGCCACTCACCAAACATACACCATTCCAACTGTTATCCCAACCACATGCCTAATAAATCAAAAAAAAAAAAAAAACCGAAAGAGAACAAGAATATTCATATATCCAATCGCGTCAGCACTAAGTCTCATAATTTTTCAGCCAGTACAGTAAACAACCACAATTTTCGGTAGACACATTTCAAGGTCTTCCAAGAAACAGCAACTCCAAAAAGAAATATTTGATATATCTGTAATGATAGGGACAGCACAAGCACATCGATTAGTGAAAAAGCAACCTAATTGACAGGCATAATTGCCCATCTCTCCACCCCTTAAAACACAAAAATAAACACAAATCTCCTACCATATGGATATTAAACAAAAAAAGATACAAGTCAGCAAAGAAAAACTGAACATTTGTGTTCGGGTAATTTTACTTCTTCCTTCCCCTTGCTTTACCATCACCACTATTGTCCCAGGTCCTTCACAGACCCATCTTTAAACCCTTTTGCGTCCTCTAAAATGTATGACGCTGTTGCTGTTGGCTACAGGAAAACATCAAAAAGCATTACTCCAAAAGGGAACTTTTACTGTTCTAAAAAATAAACAGAAACAATTTAAAAAATTTTGAATAATTTCTTATAATATACTAAGCAGCAACATATAAAGCCAAAACTGCCCCATTGTACTACACGCAAATATATAAATATTCATATAAAACTGTAATCTTTCGCCGCATTTCCTTAAGAAATGTAGATATCTTTTTAATATCACATAACTATGAAACTAGCAACTATAAATACTTTCTTTTCGCTCCTTATCGCCTTTGT